CCAATGTGGTGACCACAGTACAGTAATTGTAACACAAACCAGAGGGCACAAGTGGAGACTAAATTAAACTGAGAACAGAAGGTACAGTAGGTATTACACAAATGTTTGTGGTATTCTGGAACATGCTAAAGTTAATACCTTGGCTTCTTTAAATAAATAACCAGATGAGATGCAGTAACTACTAACTACCAGATGGGCTCTATAGGTCATATGGCCTCCTCTGCTGTCTAACATGTTCTTATGTTCATAGGAATCTGAAGGAGGTCTTACTAGTGCATTGTATAATTTCAACATAACACCCCATTTCACTTTCTATTTGCCTGACTCAAACAAGACTTCCTTTTCTAACGCCTCTCCTGAAGCTGACCTCATGAAGTAACATAAAATATTATTCTCTGAGTGCAGAAAAAATAGATAAAGCAAGCAGAAAAAAATATAAAACAAGCAGTAAAAAAAAGTCCCCCAACTGAATGGTTTAAGCGCTTTGTAAAGCCACCTTTAAAGGTGCTATATAAAATAAAGTTTTAGTTTGGGAATGGAGAATATATTCACTATTGATCAGAGAAAGGAAGTTTACTGATCTTAGACAGGCAGACAGGAGGACTGGAACTGATGGGAAGAGTCAAGTAATTTTAGGAAACTAGATGAGATGAGAGTATCACATCTGAAATGCATACACTGTAACATGAAAAAAGCCAACACTAATTTCACTTATTTCAAATACAAACACCTGTATCTTTAACTTTTGTTTTCACTGCAATACCATCTATTTTAAGTACAGTTAAAATATAATAAAATTATATTACTTTCTAACTATGTGGAACTATAGTTTTACTTACTACAAACTCAAAATAAACTGGATTACAGACAGCACTGATTAGTGTGGGCAGTTATCTGGAACTGTGACAGAGTGCTTACACATCCGTGAGGCTGTAAGTATCTTTCGGCACTTTTTGAAGTGTGAACCTGCCTATCTAACAGAGATTGTAAAACAATGTTCTTGTTAGCTTTGTTGAATTGCAGGTGACTTTTTTCCTTCTCCACAGATTGTGGCCCCCCAGAGCCAATTTTACGCCTGGAATTTTCTCCCCTTAAACCGTTATATCTCTGCAGCAAAACATTAAGTGGTCTTATAGTGAAGCTCTAACCCCTTGTACATTAAGTGTAAACAATCAAATTGTTGTTATCTCTTACTGTGTCCACTCAACAGACACAAATATGCAGAAAAAAAACAGACAAAATGTATTTTGTTTTGTCTGAAAATGCTTGTAGATGTTTCCCTATGTGTCTCCTAGCTTGGATAAAAAATTGGAAAAATTTGAAATTGCTACTGTATAAAAAGCTTCAAAATTTTACACAATATTCTAAATGAAGCCTAACTAGTATGTTGGACAGTTGTAGCAGAACATCCCTTGATCTTCATTTTTTACATCCATACTAACATGGAGCTTTCAATTCTTCCTTATATTTTCTAGAAGATGTAAATGATGTGATAGCTTAAACACTAGTTTTTTTTATCAGTATCCTCTTCTTGCTCAACTTTTCCCATTTTGTATTTCTAGTTTGTTTTTATTATCTGCACGCTAAACACTGCACTTCTCTACATTCAAAGTCAAGTGGGGAGCTGCCACAACATCCATGAGCTGCAAGAGAACATGTAAAGTTTAATTCCACTCTTCCACTAAGTGCCAAATCAAAGCTATAAAATATGGAGATAAAGGGTCAAAATACAGTACTTCTACAAGTTGTCTTTCAAATATATTGGATTTGGAAAAGTAATTGTCTGGTGAAACATCAAAGAAGTACTTTTTTTCTGGAGTGTAGGTCTTGTCTTTATCTAATTTGTTTTCTTGAAATAGCTTTAAGTGCAGATTCAGCAAATTATCTTTTCCTCTAGCTACTACGGAGGTGCTGATTTTAGAATTTTCCTAATCAGCTCTGAGGTCCCCTCTGAAGAAGGAGAACTCGAGCTGTGGATCAAGACAGCTGGTGTTCTAGCAAGGCTGGGGCTGTGTGCAGCCTGGCTCAGTGAGTGACCCTGTGTCTTCCTGTCTGCAGAGCTCGGTACGTCCAACTGGAATGTGGACCAACCATCCCCAGTGAATGGCTGGCCAGGGGGCTCTGCAGCCCTGTCCTGTAACTTCACACACCCTCCGACCTCGGGCCCCACACGCATCCTCTGGCTGAAAGATAGGCACAACCTGTACCCCCAGCCAGACTCAGGAGAGGTTGGAGTGGTGGTCCTGAACTGCACAGTGAAAACGCTGGGACAGGAGTGCAGTGCAGGAGCTGGCTGGAAGGGACGCGTCTCTCTGGAGGGGGACCTCCAGCAGAGTAACGGAGCCCTGAGATTGAGAGATCTGAGGCTGAGTGACACTGGACCCTATTACTGTCGCCTGGAGTTACTGGAGAACAGCACAAGGGGCTTCACCTTTGTCTATCCAAGACTGCTCAACGTCAGCATGGTGGGTGAGTGCCTTCGCGGTCTCCTGAGGTGATTAACGGAAAAAGGGCTTGAGCAGAGCTGGGGCGTAGGGCCGTTCCTCCTGCTGGCGTTTCTGCCACTATTCCTTTCTGTCCCAGATCTCTGCATGAGGACACCAGCCATGACTCTGCTCTCACATCTCCTGTGTGTCAGCTCTGTCTGCAGGTGGCTTCTTTCGCTCTGCTCTGTCGAACTGTATGTCTCTCTCTCCGTCTTCCTCAGCTGTCTCCTTCTCCCGCTTTCCCACAGAGCCAGTCTCCATTCGGAACCTGTCCTCAAGCGCTGGCAGCTCTGGCGCCGTCCTGCTGATGTGTGTCGCAGGGGGGAGCCCTGTGCCCTCCCTCACCCTCTTCAGCCCCACGGGCAGCACTGTTCCCAACCTGCCCAGCACCTCCCCGGGACAGCTGAGCGCAGTGCTGCACTCTCCTGTGCCCCCTGGTAATTACACCTGTGTGGCAAACAACACAGCTGGCCAGGAAACCCGCACCATCTGGCTGGAGGGAGATACCCCAGAGGCAAGCCATGGGGGTCACTCTGTGTGGGTGTACATACTGGTGCCCCTGTCTGTGCTCGTCGCCATAGCTACCAGCTTGGCACTGTTCCTCTGGAGGAGGAAGGGTGAGTGACTGCGCACTCTATGGTCTATTTACCATTAATATCCTCCCCATGTGGGCGATTAATTAATTTTAGTACATAATTGTGAAAATGGCCATCTATTTTCAAACTGCTTCTTCCAGTTCAGGGTCGCGGGGGAGCCAGAGCCTATCTCGGCCAGCAACAGGCAAAAGGTGTGGTACACCCTGGATGGGACCCCAGTCCATCGCAGGGCAGAAACAGACACACACTGACCCCGGGGCTATTTTTCCCAGACTGTCAGTATGTTTCTGGAGTGTAGGAGGAAACCAGAGCACCTGAAGGAAATCTACACAAACACAGGGAGAACACACAAACTCCATGCAGATAGCACCCCAGGAATTGAACACAGGCCCCAAGTGCCACGCAGCAATCCTTAATTGCTGCTCCATGCCTCCCTCACTGTCATAACAGCTTTTACTAAATATTCAGTCTTTAAGTTCTATCCTCTGGTCTAATTTAGGTGCATATCAGTTAGTTCCCATTTACACTTTGAGACAAAAAACCATTTAATCACTGTGTTAGAGGAATTCTCTAGTTAGAAGAATAACCTCTTTTAGAAGCATTTTCTAACAACTGAGAATATCCCCTGACTCTTGAATTGACCTGTTTGTGTAGATGCTGTTATGTATGAAAAATCTATTATTTATGGAAGGTCTTGGAGTCTGTTGTTCTATTGACTTTAACTGGAATTATTACTTTCAGGGGTTTCAGGGCCTGAAGACTCTCACCCAGTGATGTAAGTGTATTATCACCTCTAAAACCTCTTTTCTTGTCTTTGTCATTTTATTTCCTTATCAAGTCTTGTTCTTATTGATTGTTCTCATGTAGTTTACAGATGTCTTATTAACAGGTTAAAGTGATTTAAAATCTCGTATTACATTGGCCTACAACTAGTTTCTCATTCACGACACATTACATTGACCCACTGTTAGATTGCCATTTTTGCATTTAAAAGCGATTTCCAGAAAACGCAGAGCAAACTTTACTGAAAAATTTATTGTCCAGTGAAATGAACGCCTAATGTGTTATCCTTAAGGTCTTGTCAAAATGCCGATGTGTTAAGTTCTGCACTGAGCAATGTGGCTCTTGAGATAGCAGAGCCCAGCACTGTCTGAGAGAAGGGAATTCTGGGAGCGCTGCTTCCTGCCTCACTCTCTGGGACACTGCAGGCAGAGCTGAACTGAATTATTCTTTCTTGCTACCAATAGCAGTTGGTAGAATTTGCTGTGGGTACAGTAAGAGAACATTGATGAAGCAGACATACAACATACAATATTAAAAAAATAAATGCAAATTGAAATGAAAAGACAAGCAAAACGCATTTACAATCAGATGCATACGTAAACATTTACCTTACTGTACATCTGGCAAATGGAATTTTGAAAAAGATGCTCGTTGGAGGCTAAGGAGCTAAAGGGAGAGGTCAAATTCTTACGATATGGGAAAGAAGCTAAGGTTAAAGCAGGGTTGATTTAAAGTGTTTTCCCAAAGGGCTTGATGTGAGCAATCTAAAATAATCTTGTAGGCACAATTGGAGGTATGGCTTGTGTAAAGGGATTGAAATGGAAGGGAGATCTCGGCCTATTATTTTTGAGACTTTAGACACAATCCTCTCCAGTTTTTAGTGTGCACTGGTGCATGTAGGCAGAGCCTGTGCCAGTAGAACACTAGGGTGACTTTGCTATGAGCGTGTGTCACACCCCGAGGCCTGTGTCGCTGAGTGGGAGCACTGGGGTGCGAAGTGTGCTGGGGAGAGGGAGAGCGGTGTGTCTTCAGCGCTGACTTAGGAGTGTCTGCCTGCAGGGGTGAAGAGCACATCTACATGAACACAGTCTGCAAGGCTGGACAGCTCAAGAGACCCCAGGGCAGAGGTGAGTGTCAGAGAGAATAAATGATGTAGAGTTTGTATAATGTATGAGGCGAGGGCTTTTGTCCAGCCTTGTGATTTGTTTACACACTTCCGGATTTGATTTGAATCATGAATTAAATTGAGACAATTTAGGATACTGCTCTGTACAGAAAATGTGTGTGCACTGACTCATTATTTCTGCCCTGTGTGTTTCACAGACCTCACCTATGAAAACACGAAGTGGTGAAGCAAGGATTTGTTCCAGTTCCATGTTCCTCTTCCCAGCTTGAGCCTCAGTTTTCAATGTTTTTTTTGGTACTGTAGAGTGCTTCCTTTCTCGCTGTATTGTGTGTTTTTGCTGGTGAAGTTTGTTAAAAGTAGCTTCTTGGACGCCCTTCTTCCTGAGCGCCTTCCCAGCTGACATCAATGTTTTCATCTGCATCTGTGTCTTCATCGCAGGTTAAGACCCTATTTAAACTGACACCCCCAAACCTGTCAAGTTCCTTCAGCTCATAGCACAAAGAAGCAAACTGAAATCCTAACCAAATAGCTTTTCGCTCATTCTCCCACAGTTTTATAAAATATATTTTTTTAATTTATGAAGAGAATAAACTTCAGGGCTAACAGTTGCTATTGATGCTATGCAACACTGCATCCCAGAATGTTCTTTGGTGCTGTGTGGTACTGTAGCATTGGGGCTTTCAGAGTGAGAGCTGCAACTATGAGGAGACTCTGGGACACAGGGGCCAGGGGAGAAGAAACACTGTTTAGGAAAGTGAGTCAGACAGGCATGCATTTTCAGAACACACCAGCTCTAGTCAGCCTTGCCTTAGACTGACGTGGCATCTAGGTCATTTCTGCAGCACCTGTTCGCCCACAGTTCACTGCATTTGAAGTGAATCTGTTCCCGTAACATGACTTGAAAATTAAACCCCTAGTTTTGAGAAACCTTTGTTGTAACAGAAAGAATAAGGTCTGGATCCCGAGATGAAGTTAAACAGATGAGTTTATTGCATGCAAGGAACAATAGAACCGAAGTCTTGTTTCCCGCAAGAAACAACAAAACAGAAGTATTGTTTCAAGTGCTGGTACAAACTTCCAGTTTATATAGGGTTTTCCTACTGCTTCTGATGTCACTCATTATTATTGTAAAGGGGGGAGGTCATGTGTTTGGCCAGTTTACAGCCTTTTGGCCAAATGGTCAGGGATTAAGTCCCCAGGGAGTTTCCTAGCTTGCATCTGGAATCCTTATCAGTTCTCCCTTTCCTGCCATAAACTCCTGTTGCTTAGAAGACTAATCTTCAAGCTGAAATGACTTAATTTAACCCCCATCTTTACATTTTGTATTTTACTTCACCTTCTTCCCCATTAGCTGGATTAATCATACAGTTTAGGTCTTTTAATTGATAATTGGATTATTATTGTATGTGGCTTAAGAGTAAATCACTTTCTAAAGAAGATCTTGTAACATCGCTTGTAAGTATATTTTTATGGATATTTTTATGGCATTAAAAACCTAATTATTTTTTTAAAACTATTAACGTGATCCCTCGTGTCGGGTTCTCTGTTCTCCTGCTTGTGGTTTTGTCTGTTTAAAAGCAAGCTTATTAGTTCGGGATGTGCTGTGACTCACCATTTGAAATGCTGGAGTAAGGGTTTTATTTGGTATTAAAAGCTCTACTTGAATGGGCGCACACAGGGACCCTCTGTACAGGGCACCTAGAGGCTGTGCCAAGCTGAGGGACAGGCTGGTGCCTTCTCTCGGTGCCATTGATCTGTGCAGGGTATGCAGAGAAACGGGAAAGTGTCCTTAGGAAGGGTTATTGCTGTATACCATGGTAAAGGTTTGCTAAAGCATTGAAATACCATGAGTTGCTCTGATTCTGGCAGGTATGGGTATTTTGGGATTAGATTAGCTATTTTGGGAAAGAGTGTTTGCCTAAACCCTACATTTTTTATAAAGTGCAGCAGAAAGTGTACCTGTGTCTCAGCTTCTCTCTGCTGGCAGTGGGAGCACAGCCTACCTTCTCTGGACAGCCAGGTCTGCCTGTGTTGCCCAATCCCTGTCCTGGCTTTGGTCACTGAGTCTGTACTTCATCAGGGAGTGTTTCTCCATGTTGGATGGAGACAGATACTCGGCCAGTGTGTATTGTCTTGTTAGGTCCCAGTTGCATTCAGTTTGTGTTGCATGTGTCCCAGTGGGAGAGGTAGTATTGTTCACTTTGCAGTGTAGTAGTGTTGATGCTGATTTGTAGTGTTTTAGTAGTGCTGTGAAGAGGATGTCTGGTGCCGGTGTGGCTCTGACTAGCTGACTGTGGGGGCTGAACTCAAAAAGTGGACTGGGTGAGCGGTAGGTTGTCAAAGCTCATCCTGACCCTTTCCACCCTGTTTCAGCTCTTCCTTTCACAGTTTCAAAGGTTTAAAGGCAATGCACATCACACATTATCTGTTTTAAATTAACATCTTTGGATTTACACAAAACCTAGAAAAATTACAAAATGCTGATGTAAGAGATACTGTACATGTAGCTAATAAAAAGGTAGGATTTAGACTTAAAGATGTCAGAAGTTAGATGTACAAATTGCTCTATAAGAGACTGAAATTGATGGAACTAAGGCTAAATATGTCAGTATATGAAATCAAATCAAATTTCTACACAATTTCATTACACATCACTTATACCAATTGGGGCCCTGTTTTTTACTTGGAGATTGTACGATCTTTATCACAGATGCAGAACTGAAGGCAACCTGGCAGTGTCATTCTGTCTCCCTCAGGTGCTCCAGTATCACTCTGTTATTTTCTTTAATCAGGCAGTGTACCCAACTGTGATCTTGGCCATAACATATCAGGCCCAACCACAGCCAGGCTCAGCAGTGTATCACAAATCTGTGCAATGTCAGCAGGACTGAGTATCTGTGAGTTATATTTGCTCTTGAATGCCCCCTTCTGCCTGCTCATCACACTGTTCATGACAACATTGGACAATCACAGACATACTAGGCTTTAAGAAACAGCACATAGACAGGGGGCTGAATACTTATGCAAACAGTTATTTTCTGTTTTATATTTCTAATTAATTTAGGTGTGTCTGTAGAATTTTGTTTTCAGTTTGACATTCTAGATAATTTTGTGGCACGCAGTAGGAAGAAAGAAATCTCACATACTTTCTGATTGCATGTTGTAACAGAAAAAAGTCCATGGGGGTGAATACTTTTGATACGCAACGTTTTATATCAAATTTATTCTTATTCAAGCTCTAACATTTATGTTAAGCTCTAACATTTATGAATACATGAGCTGTGACTCCTTCAACCCGCCTAGTCATGCACATACATGAACAGATGACTGCAGCACAGGCTGTAGGATGTTGTACTACAGGACTGAGATACAGCATTAGGGCTGTGTAGCACAGGGAGTCAGGCACTGGTATGTACAGTAGTATATTTAAAAGTATGTGAGATACAGGGTTATTGGATTTAAGGTGTAAAGTACACCTTGACAAAGTCATGTTTTAGACTCCCATTGCTCATTTTAACAAAAAAAAAACACACATTAATGAAAATACAGTGTAAGCCATGAAAATTCTAATGTCGCTCTGATAGGTTAAACAGGAAGGTCTGTGTCAGGAGAGGTGTGGCAGAGACTTCAGCACTGAAGGTACAGTACACAGCCCTGGGCTGCAGCTCTCCTGCCTGGGCTCAGTGCCCCAGCATCCAGAACACCATCAGGATGAGCAGGAAGGCAGCCAGCATGGCGACGTAGACACAGAAGCACAGCCAGTCCGTCGTCTCCATCAGCTGCAGCCGAGCTCTGCGCCGGCTTCCTCTGTGCGTCAGGATCCGGAGCTCCTCGCTCACCTCCCACAGCTCCGCCTCCAGGGCCTGCATTGCATCTGCCAGCGTGCTCCTGGCCTCCGAGCCCTGCCCCTGCCCCTGCCCCTCTCCCAGCCTGTAGGCCCGCTGCAGATCTGTGGCACACAAACAGACTGTGATTTAGTGACTATAGGGAAGACACCACTGAATCACCCTCCTCTTCCTCCACCGCCCTAAGGAGTGAGAGTCCATCAGGCATGAAGAGGGAAATGTCGGGTACGAGAGTGTCTGTTGATTCTTGGGACTGTACAGTGTTTGTGTGTATTGGGTCTGTGTTCTACACAGCTCCAGGGTGTAATTCAGCCTTGTGTCTCTGCTGGAGGAGGAAGAACTCCTGGAGCTGGAAAAAATCAGCTTTCTGAAAATGGGTGGGTGGATAGTTGTTACTAGTCTTCATTTGGACAAGAATGCACTGAAACAAAAGCCAAACAATTGAACATTTGGAACTGATGTCAATGCAAGTGAACAGTATTAAAGGAGAGCAGTGGGAACTGGAGCTGCTCAAGGACGTTCTAGCCTGGGTTGGATGGGAATACTCCTCCAGGAGTGCTATTCCTACACATGAGCAACATTTGAGGGCATGTGGGGCCATGGGTACTAATGTGATTTTTGATACAAAATAAAATTCCATATTATATTGAAAAGAGCGTATGTATGCTTAAAAATACAGAAAATGTGACTGTGCGCCAATCTATCCTGCTGGAGCTTGAGTAGAATAACCAGTGTCTGCCCTAGGCTGGCGGGAGTTGGAGATGTCTGACAGGAGGGGGCTCTTTTTGAAGAGCGATTACCAATGGCACTGGCCACACAGTGAACACACTGTATGTATCACACTAAAAGAGTGGAGCATGATTGGGACAGGCTTTCCTTGCCTTCAGCAGGAATAGGACAGGATGCAAAACTCCAGCCTGTGCTGCGTGCAGTCTAGTTTAAGCACATCAAATTCATTCAGCTTTTATATAGCTGCAGGAGTAATTCAATATGGTGAAGCAACGCTACTCAAGGTGTTGCTGTATCACACACAGCTCTGGTTATATTATAAATTGTTTTGGTCTTGGACAGGGGAAACTGCAGGGGGATTGTGTACAAATGCTGCAAATCAGAGCAAAACCATACCAAAGCTAAACTAGTTGTGAATCCAACCTGATGACAACACTAATAGAGGAATTTAGACCTCTGCCCGAGAAGGCAATATTGTGCAGAAACAATATAGTGTCTGTACATCACCCAGGTGGGGTTACTGATCAGTGGTGGGTAATGGAGGAAAAGTGAACATTCATCATTTCTCAGAGCACACCTGAACATATATAAATAGAAGGAATTCTTATCAATATGCCTACATTACTAACAACCTAATGAGCATGATGGGCTGAATGGCTGAAAATGTATTTTTATCATGCTCATAATTGCAGAGTGACATTGAGCTCTCCCTACCTCTGATGAGCCGGCTCTTGTCTCTGAACTCTGAGTCAAGTGGTGTCTGTGTTTCTGCCCATTTTTTATTTTTCATCCAATCAGGGAAGAATAGGGTGGCGAGGCGGGGCAGAGGTGGGACATGGTGTAGGATGTCAGGTTTCCCCAGGGCCAGCAGGATCATAGATTCGCCCACACTGAGAGACAGGAATGCCAGGCACACTACAAAATACACACCTGCACAGAGACACTGAGTTAACTTGCTGTGACACAGATATAGTCAACACCGCATCAAATACACAATCACACACAGATACAGAGTCAACACTACACAAAATACTCAGTTTCATTCAGCCTTTTATATTGTCTGATATATAGTATACTTTAAATATTTTGATACCCTTGAAGAATTGTAAGAAAAATTGGATTCAGTTTGAAAATCCAGTTGTAAATCCCTTAGTTTTTAATAAAAGTGAATCAAAAACTACAGACTTATATAACCTATTTTTACTTTATTGATACACCATCTTCATTACATAATTTTCAATAATCATTCATGGGAACCTTTGGAAAGTGCCCCCCCATCCTAGTTAGGATACCATGACATGAGGCTGCAAACTAACATTAAATCAGGACAAATCATGTTATATTCTTTACAGAAAGCTTTCAAAACGAGCTTAGTCTTTTCTGATTGCACCCCAAGTTAGTCTGACCAAAACCTAAATTAGTGCTTCATGTGACCCAATCTTGTGGTTCCATTTGAATTAGGATTCAATTTGTTGCTATGTGGCAAGTTCATGTAATTTTTTTCATGCACACATGGAACTCAGCCTCCTTTAATAAACAGAGGGGCATTTCACTACCTTTTAGAAACCGAGCCTTGATAATGGACATCCACCTATTCCTCCATTACTAGAAAACTGCCCATTCAGTGTAATTCTTGTGGCAACACAGAGTCTATTCTGAAAAGACAGGGTGTGGGGCTGAAATACCGTGCAGGACACCAGTGAATCACCTGAGAGGCAGAGATCACTGAGACACCACTTAACCCAGTAGAACATCTTTGGATGGTGGGTAGGACACCTGATCTTCTCATGAGACACAAGCACAAAGGGATAGTTTAGAAACACTAATCTACCAGCATGTCAAAGGAAGCTGGGAGGAAACCGAAGCACCTGGAGAAAACCCTTGTAAAAACAAACTATGATTCCCCTGTCTGAAATCAAATTATGCACTTGATATACTGTATTTGATATTTATTTTCATGCATGCTTTTTATTATTTCCTAATTAAAACATTTTTATGTTGCCAAATAAGTTCTCAGGTCAGTACATCAGGGACATGAATGCACGTGAAGACCTTGGTGTGATGGTCTCTTCTGAACCCTTCCCTCTTACCTAGTATTGGAGTGTTTTCTCTGAAGGGCGGCAACAGGTCATTGACCAGCACCAGGAAGACCGTGTAGCCCAGCAGCAGGGTGACCTTGAAAGGGATTCTCTCAGCGCTCTCCACGGGGATGGCAAATCCTGCCAGGTCAATCAACATCACAAACCCACTGGGCACGATGAGGTTCACCACGTAGAAGAGAGAGCTGCGGCCCATCTCCACCTGCAGGCACAGAGGGTCGATGAAGAGCAGGAGAAGAAGCAGACGTAGGAGAAGACTGATGATTTTACAGACACCAGCGACAATGACTCAGATTTTGACAAGCAAGTTGGCACAACAGGGACAGACTTTAGAGATGTCCTTCAAAAACAGATGTCCGGCCTAATCATACATAAACACATGGATTTTGTCATGATTGAACAAGATGGCTGCGCTACTAGATGAGGAACTGAAATAAGATTAAATGCTTCTCGGTCTCTGGTAGTTTACATCCATGTGCTGGGCAGTGCCTTTGGTGTCAGTACCTGGAAAGTGATGCGGGAGTAGCTGTGGCTGCCCTGAGTCTCAGTGAAGCTGTAGGTCCTGATAGACAGTAGCTCCCACTCCCCGTGGCGGATCGACTGTCGACTGGCATTGAGCACCGCGCCTGCAGACCTCTCTGGAACCAGTTCCACATCCTCCACTGCAGGGGAGGCATGGGCTGACACAGACAGCACAGCAATACACACACCCACACCCTGCAGCACAGACACTCTGACAATGCTAGAGCTGGGCACAAATGCAGTGTGGAACGTGCGTAGCTCTGCTCATCCCTTGTCAGGATTCAACCATGGGTGCTCACCGTCTCACAGAGTGGACACAGAGCCACCCTTGTCCCTAGACAAGAATGAACTCCACTGCACCAGAACACTAGGCTCTTTGTCAGCAGAATTTTACATTCTCTAGGTTTCAAGTTGATGATGTCACTTCTGTGATACCTCACTGCTCTGAGCCCCATTACACATACAGTAAGTACCTGCTATATCATATTTGATATATGAAGATTGTTACATGATTGTATTTGTGTTGAGGTTGTGTGTCTGGAGTGTACCTGTGTTGATATGTGTATACAGGTCTCCAGGTCATATGTCTGGAGTGTACCTGTGTTGAGGTGTGCGCCAGGTGTATATAGGTGTTGAGGTTGTGTGTCTGGAGTGCACCTATGTTGACATGTGCCCCAGGTGTATACAGGTGTTGAGGTTGTGTGTCTGGAGTGTCCCTGTGTTGACATGTGCCCCAGGTGTATACAGGTTGTTGAGGTTGTGTGTCTGGAGTGTACCTGTGTTGAGATGTGCCCCAGGTGTATACAGGTGTTGAAGCTGTGTACCTGTGTGCAGGTTGGGCCCGAAGGTGAGGTTGCAGCGCTGGCTGTCGAAAGGGAAGTGGAACATGGCCAGGTCACAGCGCAGCACCAGCAGCAGCGGCTCAATGTGCTGCACCCATCCAGTGGAGTTCACTGACACAAAGGCGTCAGCCTCCACCCGTCCCACACTCACCCTGCGGCACACACACACAGGACACTGGCTGAGAGACTGACTCTAGGACCATTCATCACTAAGGAACTGCTGTGTTGCAAAGAAGTAAGCTTGTCTTACGCCTCTCGGACAATGATGTCAGGTGTCCAGACGCTGGATACAGGGAGGGTGAAATGAGAGAGGCCACTGAATTCTGCAGGGTCCCATGACAGAAACTCATCTTTCCATCTCTATTGTGAGAAAGAGTGAAGAAAAGTAGTATCATATATGACAAGGAGAAAGAGTGAATGAACATTAGAACACACAAACTGGAGTGCTACTGAATACACTCAAACCACACTCTGACTCCCTATCTGACCAGTAAGAAGTGATCTCCCACAGTGGAAACAGGCTCCTGACACAGCCTGACCACAGAATCTGGAAAACACAGGCAGACCTGGCTGCTAGAGACCTGGAGTGAAATAAATTTAGTCTATATTCCACATTATTTCATTTATTTCAAAAGTTCAGTTGTCAATATTGGATTTTATTTTTTAATGTTTTGCTTGTTTCCCGTAGCAGGGTCTGTGACAACACTGTGAAAGCTCATACCAACACCACTTCTGAATTCGTGGGGAGGGCTGAGGGCTGTCAAACTCACCTGGGTGCAGAGCACGTGCAGGCTGACCTTCTCCTCTTTCTCATTCTGGGGAGAAATAGAGAAGAACCAACAGGAAGGGGGTGGGGAGGAGAGGTGTTAGCAAACAGGGGTCTTGAGGAATCTAATGATCCGTTACTGTCAGCAGCGTAAACGAGTCAACAAGCTTGTAGCAATTTGTATATATATTACCACATCCAGTATAGAATACAACCGCAGGTCAAGTTGCACAGTGAGTGTGGTGTCCCAGTGTCTGACTGGCCTCAGTCTTGGGGAGGAGTGCTGAATGATGGAGCTGATCAGGGAGGCCATGTCTACTGGCCCCTTCTCACCCAGCACACAGGGACCTGGAGAGACAGGAGGTTTAAGCCTTTTGGTACAGGTTGGCATTCCAATCCTTCAATAATATATGGGTTCACATTATGCAGAAATTAATCAAATAGCTTAAGAACATGAGCATTCTGAAAACCACCAAATTCAGATTATGGTGAAAATTCTACTTATATACAAATGTATCATAGACACCAGGGGGAAATTATAATGATGGTGGACTTTGTCTTCCTTCACATAAATTATGCTGCACAATTACCTGTAGGAAAGATAGGATAGAAACAACAGAAATGGGATATGATGTTTTATGATTCTGATTTTGTGAAGTCAGACACAAGCAAAGGAACTTGTTTTGTTTTCTGAACTGACTGGTGTTTGTTTTGATGTTTTTTTCTGAACCAGGGAAAATCTGATCATGTTTCTCTATACCAAAAAAAAAAATTATATAGCACCTTTAAAAGTAGCATCTCAAAGCAATACAGTAGATGTAAAAACAGTTATAAGGACCACAGTGACAGATTGAGGACAATGGTCACAGGACTACTATGGAAAAGTGATCACAATTTGGTATCATATGACGCTTGTTTTAAAACTTTATAGCTGGTCCAGCAGTATGGATTGCACTTTCAGAAAATTAGGCTGTGAAGGAAAGATCAAACAGTTAAAGCTGACAATGTCTTTTTGCACCCAATCTAATGCTCCATTTTTCTCATCATCCACTCTCTTTCTTCATCTCCCGCCTCGCTCTCTGTCGCACATCTCCTTACCTCTGGAAATCAGCCAATAGAAGCTCAGGACCCACAGAAAACCCAGGTCCATCGCTCAGATCCTGAATCCCAGTTCTCCCCCCTCTCCTGGCTGAGACTCAGCTCATCCAGGTTCACTTCTCCAAATTGAATTTCTCCTCTCCCAGCGCCGGGAGTCAGCACCAGAACATAGATGCTCTGCTACCTCTTGGGCCAATCTGTTCTCTAGTTTGAAGCTTGAATCCTCTTCTACAAACAAAAGAGAAGAGAAGGATCTCTTCCCTCTCACCGACAGAATGCTTGCAGGCTACTCTCTGCCACAGACCTTTAAGTGTTGTAAATGAAGGAAGGGAGATTAAGCTTAATTTCAATATTCAAACTCAGAGTGGCTCTCACTTGCACAGAGCTCCATTGTCACATGCTATCTGCATGTACAGATAGGACCTGATTTGAATATCAATTTCTCAGAAGCAGTTCCTCTCCGACTCACTTATCCAGTCTGGTTGCTTTTCTGGGATCTAGGACTGCTTGAACAGGGGGAGCAAGCAGAAAGTGTCCTTCCCTGACAGTATCGAACACGTACAATGCCCACCCGTCAGGAATTGATTCCCTTCTATTTTTCTTGAAACCTTTTGACAAGGTCTTCAACAGCAATTCAGAATAAATCAGCCTCCACTGAGGTTATGAAGGTTATTGTAGCCATAACGTTGACCCTTTAATCTGTCATAATTCAGAATAGATAAATGACTAATCAGAGCTGTAACCTGATGTGTAGTGGTCAAGATGAATGCAAGATTCCATATACCAATAACATTCTAGGAAAGTATTCAGTTAAACATGCAGACCCACCCCCTGGTACAGTATATTATCATGAAGACTCAGATAGGATAATGATGTGAGGTGAAACCTGTTACATCAGCACAGGACTCCCATTTAATACGCTCTGTTCTCTCCAGATCGGTCTGTCAGCTCTGGGTTCTGGAACAGGTCTGGGAGAGAAAATGCTACACATCCTGAGGGAAAACAGGTCACGGGGATTTGCAGGAATCCAATGTAGAACTGACACAAGAGAGCTCATCTGTGGGGATTTTCATATATATCAAGGATCTGCCACACGACCAGGAAAGCTCTAGAAATTGAAAGCAAGGCTGCAGTAATCCCAGGTAAGATCTGACAGTCCAATATGGAGACCGCATTTCTGATCTGTCAGTCTATGCCAGTGAGGGGCACTGATGTTGAGCTTTGTGTCTCTTCAGATCTCACTGTGCTGAGCATGATTGCTCTCATGGTAGGTAGATGTTCAAAGCTGTTTCTTTTTGGATATTTGTACTGCTGAGTGACTTGACAGTGGAAACATCAATACTGCCTAAATAGTGGTTGATGAGAGGAGGAAGAAGCCCCCTTGAGCAATCCCTGCAGGGCATGAGGGTGAAACCATGGATGGATATGCAGGTGTCATGGCACACAGTGAATTGTATTGTTGCCATACTCATTTTTGATGTAATACTGTATAACTAAAATTTGAAACAAACTTGTACGATATCTACTTTGTAAAAAGTTAAAAGTATACTAATTTCAGATGTTATTGTTGATTACATGGAGGCATTTGCTGAGCCACATGTCCAAGGCTTTGTTTTCTATGGTGGGTGACACACAGTAAGAACACTGAGGCACAGGGTTTAATCCAGTGAATGTTCCCAGTTAATAAAAGCTTCTTTATGTGTTTTTTTGTGAGTGGAACAGTGGGCAGTATTAGAGACAGATGTTCATGGGAGCTCAGTGCTGTCTGTATTCTCTGAATTCTGCCCTTTCCCCCCAAAGGGAAGTGCAGTATAGTAGTAGAGGCTGACTCTTCTAGTGAGTCTGAACCCAGAGGCCTCTGTGTCTGGTGTACTGTATGCTCACAGCTCCAGTGTTTTCTGTGCATTCTGTGTTGTGAACTCTATGACATGCACTAACATCTGTTATACAGTCACAGCACCAGCTCCCCTTCTCCAGGAGAAACTCACCTTTTCTGGATGCTTCTGCAAGGATATTTTCAAATATTATTTACGTGTACTGTAACCATTGCAAATCACATAAAAGTGTTTCAGGATGAGTTTATCACCCAAGCTGAGCAGGCTGTGAGACTGACCCTCCTAGAATGAGTGTGAATCTCCACTTCTTGCTGCTGCTCTCCCTCCTGCAGGGTAAGAAACGTTCACCCGTTCCTTTTGTATGTATTCAATGCTTACCATGTCTACCACTTCAGGACTAGCTAAGGTCTCAATGTTGTTTTCTAAAATCTATGTGTGAAAAGCTAAAATGTCCCATAATAACACCTACTTTCTTTGTATAACCACCCCTGATTTGACTGTAAAAAGCCTGCATTATGACTGACACAACCGGAGTTTCTAACTGCATGCCTCTCATCCCATTGTGCCCTCCAGGTGTGTGTGTGAGCCCAGCTCCGCAGCCCCACCCGCCGGCCCCACCCTCCCTGGCCCTCTGGCTAGACACTGTTCTGTCTGGACGCGCTGCCCAGTTGCGGCCAGTCCTGGACTGGAGGACAGTCACACTAGTCACCATCGACTTCACTGTGCTGGCAGTGCTGGACATGGTGAGGCTGCTGCAGAGCTCCTGCTGCTTATCAACAGTTGATTTTAACAACAATTAACTACTGATACAAGATCTCCACAGGCACCAGGCATAGAAAGGGATGTATTTCATGCAAAAGACACCTGTGTCTTTCTCATAACATTTACATTTATGCATTTGGCAGCTGTTTTCATCCAAAATGACTTACAATCACACCCACCCAAGATGTAAAGGGTGAATATAATATTTAAACCACCAGAAGCAGTAAATGCATTGTTAATTGTTAAACGTGATTGTTGCACAGGGTGTTGCAGGGTGTTGCACAAGCTTAAGGAGTTTTTGTACTGCTTCACAAACAGGAAGTAATGATAAGTAACTTCTTCAAGCTCGGTGTTTTATCATCTTAAAATGTGTTTGTGCTACCAACTTGTAACTCTGTACTTGTCTGCATTAGATTTACAATGACAATGACGTATATGATAGCTTTTTGCTCAGACAAGTGGAGGCATGAAAAGTATTGTTCATGAACATCATGAGTGCCATACACTCCAGAAACAATCCTGTTCTGTGCAAAGTGAGAAAAAGAGAAAATTGTCTCTGTGGATCTTAAGGGGTGCATGTTACAACCTCAGAGTGGCATCCCATTTTAATCATTACAATTTAATAGACAGAAAATTTGGCTGCTACCGGGTGGAGGTGGGGGTGTGGATGGGCAGTTGCCATAAGCCTCACTACTTTCCCACACAAGCAACTCACTCTACTCTTCCTGCAGTTTGTC